ACTTAAATAATCTTTACATCATTACAGTTGAAATATGTGAGATTGCATTTTTAAAGAAAATTTAACTATCTACTAGCAATAACTTGAGACAAAACAGTCCCCAAATAAAATGCCTATCCAGATCTGCAAATAATTTTGTCAATTATAATTTCCACTCTTCAAAACTCCTTATTTCTAAGTCCCCTTCCATATTATGAATTAATTAAATCCGTGCTCTTTCACACTTCATATAACAGTGTCATTTAGAAGTATATTTATATCACAAGTGTATGTGAAAGATACTTATTGATTTTGAGCATTAAGGAATTTATTCAAGTTTATGCTATAATTATTGCCTCATAACTTGAAAATAATCCCCACAGCTCAATAAGAATATAATCACAAATTTTAAATGATCAAAGCGAGACTCTAAACTTCAAATTTATAGAAGATAAATTTATGATTATTTATATCTAAAATGAGGACTATTTCTAGAAATCTTACTGCTAGTTTGCTTTTAGTAGAAATTTTCCTTGGGGCACTTATAATAAATTCACTTCCAAAATTTTAAGTGACAAATAGCTTTTCACATAAATAGCTCTTATGCAAGGTAGAGCAAATTTTCACGTTTACCTTCAAATCATGTCATAGAGTATAGTGTGGAGGGCTGAGAGAGGAATCCTGGTCAGCCTGTCATGTATGGCAGAATAGAAAAGAGTGGCATGAAGATTGTCAGTGTCTTCACAAGGCTGGCAGAAAGCAGAATTTCCTCTCTAGCTAGATGAGGCTCACATTGCCAGTGTGTGGTCTGGCTCTGCAAAGCACTCTGGCCAGGAGACTAAATCAGGGTAGTAACAACTCACAGTCCTCCTCTATGTGTGCCCTGAGTAGCTCAAGACCATACAGCATCATGGCCTGAAAGCAGGCATAGTGAACCCAAACTGCTGTGCCATAGGCACAGGTGTTATTCTCTGGGGAAGTCATGAAGATGGCGTACTAACAAAGGCAATGTTTAACTCAGCAAAGTACATCTGCAATGGTGGGATTGTAAACCCCAACAATCCAACAAAGAATCTAGTAACCCCTTTAATATTTGTCACACTGCACCAAATGAGTAACCAGCAAATTGGGCCAATGTGTAAGGCCAGCACTAAACAAAGAATTCAAGGATAGCAGGCAAATGATATTAGGAAAGTTGTCTTACTAGTCTTAGCCTAGAACCTGAGCTGGCAAATTAGGCAGCAGTTCACACTGCAACAACTGCAGCACATGATCATGGGCTAAGTGTAAGCAAATCACAACAAGGAACACAGCATGTGTGGCTCTCAGAGGTAACAGTTGAGGTAACAGCCAAGGCATTCAGTTAACAAAGAAAATGAAATCTGTTACTGAAAAAGTACTGATATGGCAACATTTAAAAGAAAGCAGCCAGAACAAAATGAAAAGCAATGTACTTGGTGCTCCAGTGCCACAAAGAGAACCCTATACTAAGCAACAAAATTTTAAAAGCCTCAAATATGATCAACTAAAATATGGCATCTATTTTTAAAGTTGAATGCACTGTTTTTTATCTCTGGTTTCAAGCCTTTCCAAGAGGCTGATGTCCTCTGGGCATCTGAGTGATGGAAGTGAAGACCCAGAGTCCTTCAAGATCTCTTCAGACATGGAAGTCTGGGGATTTATGTATTTAAGAACTAGGGCCATAAAAGTGGCAACATACAGACTCAGGGTATACGGTGAGATGTTTTAAATCAATATTTAGTTTCACAGCCAAGAATCCATGAAGAGACAACACCCCATGGAAAAACAAACAATTTTACGGTGATTGAGATGATATAAGTTCATGGATAAGAAAAAAAATTCCATTTTTAAGGACAAAGTTAGTCCCAGCATTGAGAAAGAGCATCCAAAAAAATATATATATATGGATGCTGACTGAAAGAGTACCTCAGGTCTTGAATAACAAGTGTTTAAACTAATAAAAGAATATACACCTGAGTAATTGCCTGCACCTTCCAGGGCAGTATTATCAGCAAGGAAGCAAGCTCCCCAAGAGCAGTGACTAGGGATCCTTTATGTTTACCTCCCAGAATACCACCAACTGCATTTCACAATGAACCTGCAAATACATGCTGATTGGATAGAGCAATGTGCTGCTAAATTGTATTCTGTTCCTATTCATATTGGAATGAGTTAGAATATAGCAAACTAATTTTCTATCAATGGTGATATATACCACACAATGTAAAACAATATCTGACAGAGCATGGAACTGAAATTCAGATATCTTACTGAAAACATTGATTGGGGATTAGTGTCACATCACATAGCATTTCTGTGAACAAAAATAATGAGGGAAACACGCTTACACATAAGGCTTTTAAAATAGTAATTTAGACTAATGAACACATACTATTCCTGTGTTTTTAGTTCCACAATAACATAGGCTTTTATTAGACTTGTGGCAGCCATTTAAAGTAGGAGCAAACAGACAGATAAAAATTATGCAGACCAGTCAGCAGTTTCCCCACTGCTTTACCCAAGGAACAGTAAGTGTCCTAAGAGCCTAGATCAAATTTCTATAAAGACGAATTCAAATTTTACATGATATTACTACATTTTCCCCCTTGGTGAGAATTTCTTAGCTAGTTCAAAGCCTGTATCTATATTTTCATATCTGAATGAGCAATGATAACCACATTGCCTGCTGACATGTGGTCTAATCATTCACTGAGAAGAGAGATCCCATTTATGGCAATCAGTGTTAATCCCCCAATAGGATGCAAGCATTGTTCTGGCAGCCACATACCCTGTCTCTTGGGATCCTAGTAACCCTGGTGCTCTTGACAATGACGGGTCTACAAGAGGACATGTTCCCTACTTCTGACAAAAGATTTTTTGATCCCCGGTACCAAAAAAAAATGATATAAAAGCATGTTTTCTTCAGTGATACAGAGAAGAATGCAAGGGCAAAGAGCTCTTACCCCTACTCTCCAGATTAAGTACTTCCTCCTAGTTAATTGGGTATTATTGGATTATGCAGTTTCATCAGGAGTCTCATGGTAGAGATTCTGATTCTTAAAAGAGCCTTAGTACAGTAAATACACCCAAAAGGTGTGTGCTGGTCATCCCGAGTGATAAGATGTGTGTGTGTATCTCTGTGGCTATGTATATACATGCTGTGTTTACATACACATGTGTTTACTGAAAGAGAGAGAGACAGAGATAGTTTACAGATGGGACAGAGACAGAGACAGAGAGACAGAAAGAAGGAAATTAAAGTAAATGCCAGAGCCTTAACAGAACTTCATCTATGCGCAACAGGCCAGTTGACAACTATGTGCAGTACAGCAAGGTCTGCTCAATTTAATGACAAGAGAGGACACTTAATCTTAAACCTACAGGGTAGCCAGAAATTCATGATTTGTGCACAGGCTAAAAGTGGCTTAGCTAGATATCTCCCTCTCTCCCACTTTCCCTCCTTCCCTCCTTTCTTCCCTCTCTGGAAAAGTTGACAGCTGGTGAGCAGGCAATAGGTAAAGGAGGCCATAAAAATTTGGAACTATATCACACATAAAATACTGCAAAGAAAAGTGTTTGCTGAGGACACAGATAACTGAGCAGCCGTTCAGATATGGTTCCTGAGAAAGGGGTGGAAGAAATAGCTTTGATTCGAGTCTTTCCTGACCCCAGTAACTTGTCCTTTTGTGATCCTGGTGTGTTTGTTCTTTTGTTCTCATATTTACATAAAATCCATAATCTATCCTTTTTAAAACCTAATGACTTTAGCATGAGTGTATTTCTTCCTTTTAAACCTTTATTTTCGTTGACCTCCTCCTGACACTTCAGAATACTGACCAGTGTGTCTCTTATAGGTCTCTCCCTTCTCACTTCTGCAGCATTAGCTCCTTTCCTTTTTCTTCTGCTCTTTTCTTTGCAGTCTCCTGTGAGGGCTGCAGTTCCTCTGCCAATATTTCAAATAGTGAGAGTCTGGGGTTTCTCTGTGGCCTTGGCCTTTCCATTCTTATGTCCTCAACTTTCACTCTATCTGGAATGTTGTTTTATTCTGTCCAATTAACACACCTGCTTGGAAAATCACACTTGTGTTTGTTAAAATGATCACTCAGTTATTAGTCACAGGACTTTACACTTTTACTTCAAAGGGTAGTTTGTAGCCTTTTAAGGATATCAGTGACAAAGTTCTCAACACTATACTACATAAACATGTAATGACAATTCTTCAACAAATTCCTGATAAGAATGCATAGGCAAAACAATCTAGAGCAATAAAATAATAAAACTTGGTTGAATTTTCTGTTTAAATTCATTGGAAAGATTTTGTTTGATTATATGCATGAATCCTGTAACTTCATTTTATGGAGAAAATTATAAAATCAAATAAGATTGTTAGGATTTAAGTCAGCTATGTTTGAGAAAAATCACCCATTTGGGGTGTGTGTGTGTGTGTGTGTGTGTGTGTGTGTGTGTGTGTGTGTGTGTGTGTGTGTGTGTG